GGCGTCCGCTTGCTGCAACCTCCCTAGTTGCAAATCTGAACAGTTTGAACAGTTGGATACACCGTCTCGGTGGACGACCTGAGTGGGCTGAGAAAAGACTCGGCAACGATGATGAAGGGACCTGCCTACGAAAACTTTGAAGTTTGCCAACGTTGTTTGCCAACTGCCAACAGGAAACATCACTGGGTGTGTCTACTCTTGGCTTCCCTTACAAGTCACAATAAATGGGTACTGGCACCCTCAAAAAAGACAAGCGGCTCAACTGGATAAGTCACTTTGGGCTTCACCGAGCACTCGCAGCACTCCCCTTCGCCTTGCGAGTCCTCGCTGCAAGCGCGCTTGTCATTCTCCTCAGCTCGCATCCCGTACTGAGGAGCTCACCGAAAATGGTTGCAGGTGAGGTCTTTCGGTTCACCCCCCCCCCAGATACCAGCAACACAAGGGTTGGTGGTCTTGGCCACCAAAAACTGGTTGGGTTGGTGGGATAGGAAAAGCGACTGGAATCTCCCAGTTCACCCCAGAGAAAGAGAACACGAAACTGAGCTCGAATGTCCCACCCGTATGTTGGAACCTGGCGAGTGGCCTCTGCAGCTCGAGCGATCGGCCGGTTGTTGACCCAAACCACTGCCCCAGCGGGGATGTAGCCCATGCAACCCACTGCGTCCCGACGGCGCGTTTGGGAATTGAGGGCAAGGGAAAGATTGGACAACTCTGAAGGCGGCATTGGCATTAGCATGCGCCGTATGCCTCAGAGCCGACCGGCATGGGGACAAAGGAACTGGAAACCCGGCGACAAAACAAAGGGCACATGTGCGACGGTCCCAAACTCCGGTGAATGGGCCGAGCTCCCTTACTTGACCAAAGCGCAGACTACCGGAAAGCTTGGACCACTTTCTGCCGGCCAATGAAGAAAGAGAAACATCCACCAAAAAGATGAACAATCAGCAAGTCCCTGAAAAGTCTAACACCAAATTGCCCTGCTTGTACCAGTCGTCTAGGAGTTCATGACCAACCATAACAAACTACAATGACCAGGTGGTGCCATCATGGCACAAATCTAATGGCCAACTGATCCGAGCCACGAGAACCCGGAACTTGCGCTGCAGCTCGGCGATCTCTTGTTCGATGGGCTTCCTGCCACTCACCGCTCGATCTTTGCAAATGTCAAGGTATGCCCGCCTGCGCTGGCGCGGATGCGGGCGTGGGCGCGCGCAAAAGCAAGCGGTCGTGGTCGCACGCTTGTGCGTGCTCATGTTGTATGTTTGCATGTGGACGTGGTTGTTTGTGTGTGTGTGTCTGTCTGTGTGTGTGTGTGCGTTACGTGCTTGCTTCCGTGTGTGTCTGTGTGTGTGTGTGTTGTGTTGTGTTGTGTTGTGTTGTGTTGTGTTGTGTTGTGTTGTGTTGTGTTGTGTTGTGTTGTGTTGTGTTGTGTTGTGTTGTGTTGTGTTGTGTTGTGTTGTGTTGTGTTGTGTTGTGTTGTGTTGTGTTGTGGTGTGTTGTGTTGTGTTGTGGTGTGTTGTGTTGTGTTGTGTTGTGTTGTGTTGTGTTGTGTTGTGTTGTGTTGTGTTGTGTTGTGTTGTGTTGTGTTGTGTTGTGTTGTGTTGTGTTGTGTTGTGTTGTGTGTGTGTTTGTGTGTTTGTGTGTTTGTGTGTTTGTGTGTTTGTGTGTTTGTGTGTTTGTGTGTTTGTGTGTTTGTGTGTTTGTGTGTTTGTGTGTTTGTGTGTTTGTGTGTTTGTGTGTTTTGTGTTTTTGTGTTTTTGTGTTTTTGTGTTTGTGTGGTTGTGTGTTTGTGTGTTTGTGTGTTTGTGTGTTTGTGTGTTTGTGTGTTTGTGTGTTTGTGTGTTTGTGTGT